GAACGAAACGATAATAATAATAATAATAATAATAATAATAATAATAATAAAAGAAGAAGAGAAATGAATGAATAAGAATTATATTGTCACACGCTCGCACACAGTACTGACAGATTGAAACATGCCCAGACACGCAAGTATAGAAAAAAGTAAGAGAGACATCGGCAAAGAATAACAAAGAAATAATCGGCAACATATATATTAAAGATCGGAACGGAATAAGCGTAAAATTTGTTTTAATAAATGAAGAAAAGAAGAAGAAATTTGAGAAAACATAGACACAACCGTGGTTAATTAAGACAGATTTTTTAATCATAAGATTACGTAGAAGCAGAAGAAGAAGAAGAAGAAGAAGAAGAAGAAGAATTCGTACACGTTTACATTGATACGCTCGACATTTGTGCTCTTGTGTAGACCAACAAGAACATTTTTTCTTTTACATTATGTGGTGGTTTATAGCTTTTTTTCTTTCCTTTTTTTCGTTTTTCGTTTTTCGTTTTTCCTGTAAAATTTTATAAAACACTTTGCCTAAAGAAACACTCAGAGAAATTATTATTAATAAACACATTTCTAGTTCATATCATATGTCGTGCTGTGACTTTGTCCTAATATCAGTGAACATCTTCTTAATTGCAATTAATAGTAGTAAAGCATACCAACCATCCATACCAGTCCTCCTTACTGTGTTTATTTTATGTTTCTTAGGTTGTTTGGTTTTTTTGTTTGGTTTGTTTTTTTCTTTCCCCAATATTTATTATGTGTGTATTTTATTGTGCAAAATTTGTTAAACAGAAAAACATAAACGTAATAATTTTCAAGTATGTATTTAAGTTCTAAATAAATTCTGTGATACTGTAGTTTGTATGAGTGTTTCTGTATATGGTTTCGAGTTTTTTAAGTTTTTTTATTTTCTTCTTTTTTTTTTTTATATATATATATATATATATTTTCTTTTACTTTCTTTTTACATTTTCCACTTAAGTGTTATGGTATAGTAGAGTGAAGGACACAACAACATTCTCAAAGAAATGTATTAGAATCAAAACTTGGATAGAAAAAAAAAAAAAACAGAGAAGAGAAAAACACATACATATGTACATATTTTGTATACATAAGTATAAAAATTGTGTTATATGAAGATTTCTGTCATTGAAGAAAAGCGAAAGAATTGAAGGCATAGATACATAAGTAGTACATACATACAAATCGATGTGTTTGCAAAGAATTCCTTTTCAATGCAAAAATAGTGTTAAGATAATTTTAAGACAAATAATCATGCAATAAAGAATTTTTTTTGTTTTTTTTTTTTTTTGTTTTTTTGGGAAGGATATAGAAAAAAGTTGATTTTTTTAAAATTCCACAAAACTTTATCTCTATGATTACTATATTCATCAACGAGCGATAGAAGCAATTTAATTTTGTCATTCCATTAAACATATTGAAGAAATATGCCTCAGATATTCCGAAGCATAGATATGTTCTTGACTATAATTGAGATTTCAAGTTATTTTGTCATGTCGTCCTTGCCGTTCCGCAGTCGTGCGTTATTGAAACAAACGTAGCAAATATCGAGATGCTGACTTGGGACACGACGTCTATGTTGTTTAAAAACGTGTATAATAGTGAAAAATTGCATTACGGCTGACTGCTATTATTATTTATTTATTATTTCTCTCTTTTCATATGAAAGATATTTTATGAGATTAAATGGCTCAAAAAGCATACTTTTGATGGGTTTTTGTTAGTCGAGCCAAGGTCATTCATGTGAAACTATCACAAATCGTCTATACCGCAGTATTATGTGGTCCACTACTACTTTGTTCCAAACAAAATGATATGTATTCGTATGTATGTACCTTTTCTTCGAGTTTTTGACATAACGTCTTATATATTTTTGTATGTCTACGACTGTATTATAGACTCTGTGACCTTTCCATTTATGGTATATATTTGGTTATGTTCGATGTGAGCCTGACCTCAATGAGGTGCACTACTATCCTTTTTTGTCGACAACTATTACATAAAACCTATCATGGACCATATATGATAAAGCTCTGGCTCATCGCTTTAGATTGTTCTAGTCTTTATTTTATTAGGGGATATGCACATCGATATTTTTCTATTAGCTTTTGTGGGTTATATTCACAATACAGAATATTTACTTTATTCTCTTTGCTACACTTTGATTTGAGTTCCCCTTTTCATACGGCCATATTCCATTCGAATGGCTTTTAATCAGAAAACTTGATGCATATATAGGTTTTGATATCATTGCTTCTATGGGAGTGACAGCTTGCTGCAATGACATTGAGAGCATGAAAATTGTCTGAAAAATTTTGTTCAAAAGCCAAAAATTTCATCGCGATGATTTATTCGAGAGTGTACGCAAACAAAGGATTGATTTTCAAATCAAATGTCATATGCAATCCACACAAAAGTGACCGCTTAGAATTAGTGGCTTTGAACTTTGAATGGGAATTTATTTTTTGTAGAAGATATTTGCTACTGAAATATTGTTGCTTCTTTGCTAACAACTGAATGTATTCCAACTCTACATCAAGTTCAAATGGTGTTCTGAGGACTTGCATTTAAATGCTCTTAATTGCTCCGATTGACATCATTTACAGGGTCGTATAAATTGCCCATAAGATGTTACAATTTACTTGCGATAATTATAACTTTTTATCACACATGAATACCTTAATATTAGACAGTTGAACTTGGGCATTGAAAAATTCCCATTTGCATTTGTTAATGATTGCAGCCTATATATAACTTGTTTGCTTGCTTTCGATTCGGTTAATTGATGATTCTAATTATTGCAAGGTTCATTCCCATAACCTAAAATAATAGTGAGGATTGCGTGAATTAATTAGATGCTGGCGTCCATTCATTTTCTATAAATTTGGAGAAAAAATTTACTCATAAACATTTTTAGGGAGCACATAGCTTATTTTGAGTATTTCCGAAATTATTGATCGATCTACCGGAACGTGTTCGCAGTGCGTTTCGTATCTAACAATTATCCTTTTTTTATATGACTATATGATTATTATTAGATAAGTGTGTGTGTAGTGTAGTTTATTTTATGTCTTAAGTAGAGTGAAGTCTTCATTAGCTGCGCATGCCAGAAATTCCAAAAAAAGCAAGTTTATGATGCGTGATTGAAATATGCTTAAGATGTGCATGACAAATGCTATGAATTCAAAAAATGCCCTTTAAATGGTTTACATTTATTATATCCGCCACTAGTTCAATTGAAAACATAAAAGAGACAGAAAAGAAATGAAAAACAAAATTAAATAATTAAATAAATAAAGAATGAAACCATTTTGTGATCAAATAAGGGACAAAATAATAAATTATAATAAAAAACAAATTGAATTGAAGTTTTTTGTGATTGAGATAGTGTTGTAGGCTGCTTTCCGCCCTTTCAAATTTGTGGAGCAATTTACCTGATTTTTTAAATCCATTTTTAGAAAACTCAACGAAATTTTGAATAAAATAATAAAAGTGAAATAAATAAATAAAGTTTACTATAACTCTTTATACGAACTCTAAGCATTCGATTCTACCATTCAATATTTTTATATATATATATATAAAAATACACATATATATATATATATATATATATATATATATATACATATATATACATTTATGTATACACATATAAGTCAGAGATAGTTACACGTAACAATAATAAACTTACCTTAAAACTTTTATAATTATTGCATATCACATCCTTAGGGTATGAATGAATATGCAAAATTTTCCAAGCTTGTGTAAAACTTTCATATAGTAGTCGTGTTTCTTTCGTTTGCTTTTGCTAAGTGATTGGCGTAGTACCCATCATCAGATTTCGGATATATGTTCAATTTTTTATTCCGATCGCGACATTCGGATGCACGTCTTAGATAACTGTATTAGATTTAAACCAATCTATCTGTCTGTCTGTCTGTCTGTCTTTCTGTCAATGGCGGCAACTCTTATAGCTATAGCTATATATATATATATATAGCTGTAGAGAGAAAAATGAGAGAATCAAAGAATTACTAAGTCCCGGCGTAGATAATTGTGGATTTAGTAGATGACCTGCCCCCATATTAACCTAACGCACAAATATTTTCTTGTTTCTTGTTTTCTGTTAAGAGGAACTATTAAAATCATTACACTATAAATATATTAAAACTTGATGATAGGTAGGTGGACATGATTCGCTTTAAGACGAATATAGTTTTTTCATAAGATCTTTTATTTTTGCTATTTATTAGTAATTTTTTTTCAACTTCTTTTCAAAAGACATAAATAACGTTCATTCAGTAGTTATTTTATCAAAATTAGAGAGTAGAACGTGTTTATGACTTTTAAATTAGTTTGAAAATCATGACATTACACATTTACTATACGTGTATGTATACGGGATGTAGTTGAATGAAACTTTAAACTTAATATGAAAAGTAATCGACCATGGAAACGACCATGCTTCCTATAATAGACTTATTAAAAAGAATTCTTTATCTTTTGTTAGTTGGTTTGTTTCTTTTTTAGCTTACAGCCTTCTCTTTTGATTTGAAATTGAAAGTCAAGAACGTAGAACATAGAACATAGAACATAGTACAGATAAGGGAAACCGCACACTCTTTACATAGTAAAGTAACAAATTTTTTGTTTTCCATTCCTAGTTAATAAAAGTATCGTTATTTGTCACATACAAATATAATGAATAAAGAGCAAAATTATTCCATTTACATAAGTATTCATAATTTAAAATTTAATTTTATGCTTTCCGAATTTTCAAATTGTCCCTATTTATTACACGATTATATATATATGTACACATATATATATATATATATATATATATATATTTAGGGTTTTATGTTAAAATTCCTATTTGTTAAGCATTTATTGGGCAAAAAGAATTTAATTTTCCCTCTTCTTTGAATTTCAAAATACTTACAATTTAAAGGCGTAAAGCATCTTGTGCAACTTACCCAGCAATGGTACAGCATCTGAGGTTGCTGGCATCGTTTCGGCCACCATATTAAGGAAGACAGTGAGCGATAGTAATATTGTTACTCCTAAAAAAATTAACGCAAAGAGTAAATGTTTATGCGATTGTGTATATATATATATATATATATATATATACATAGAGATAGCTATATATATATAAATATATAAAAAAACATATATATTTATGTATGCATGTATGTATATATGTATGTATAAAAATGTTTATAAAAATTTGTTCGTTTCGTTTCATTTCAATCACATAAGCTACTTATCACTGTTATGCAGTATTTTTATTTGACATTTGCTTTAGCATTCCATTGATGTTTCATGTTGTTGTCGATTGATAGCTATCCCTCTGCCCGTTGCTGTTTAATGTTGGTATTTATTGTTGAATCTGTTGTTGCTGTGTTGTTGCTTTAAATAAAAAACTACTACCATATTCTCTGCGCTGAACCTCAATGTCAATCGGTCATCATAAAAATTATTATTGCAGGGATTCATATTTTGCTGTCGTGTCAGTCAATTCTTCCTAGTTGTTTTAATTTAGAATTTAAATATTAATTAAAAAGCTTAAAGCAGCTTGTTTTTATGCTTTAAATATTTTTCATATTTTTTTTAATATAATACAGTGCTTAAAATTTCCGATCAATAAAAATTAAGTAAAACGAAATTCAATATTTATGATGTGTAAAATGTTGATTAGTTTTTAAGGAGCGTCTAAACGAGTGGCCAATTGTAAACGACCTGTATATACATACTCTCGAGTATGTATGTAGGTTAGCTGCGAATAACCAAAAAAACACACCTAAATTAGGAGGAGGAACGGCTGAAAAGGCTGCACAACTGTGCAAATATTCGGCGACAGTTTTGGTTGTGTTAATGGATAGGTATAGACGTTATAGGGCTGCAGGAAACTGTACTTCGTTGCATGTATTAGGCAGGAATGACATCTAATCGAAATGGTTTTCGGGCTAATGCTGGTCACTGCCCCCGCCCTGTTAAAATTCGGCAATTCTGAATAGAACGTTCTAGCGGAAGCTTGGTCTGGAAGTAAACGCTAGTCCCATAAGGGCTAACATCAACCGTAGCATGGCCTTCCTGCTTGGATCGATTGTTATGAAGTCCATTAACCTGACGACACCTATGAAACCAGGTACCGGCTTTTCACTTGGGGTCCAACAACAATTGAAATTCGAAAAGCAAAAACATACCTGAGCTCTCGTTGGCAATATGAGTAAAAAGGAACCCTTCAAAACGAGCGCCAGGTCAGACAAACGGTACCGAGCGGTCAAGTAGCAATATAAAGAATGTGCCAGCTTTTGAAAGACTCGGCAGCTACGTTGCTGCATTGCTGGAAATGCACACAGAAAACGGAAGACAAGTAGGACATTGTAGTGTGGAAGAGTAACCATACTCTGGGTGAGTTTTGCTATTCCTTCGTATTGAAGATTCGCGCCAAGCTGTTTCAAGCCTTCTTGATGTTTTATTTCTACTACTTATCACTGAATTATGGGGAGATATAGTCATTTTGTAAAAACGTTTGCAACATCCAGAATAAAACTATACGCATCGTAACGTAAATTGAACAATGGAATTTCTTGGCGAATATCAAATTCTGATTCGATTCGAATATGTTCGTCTGTCTGTCTGCCTATGAAGCTCTCGGCATCAAATTTGATAGAATGCGTGGGCGCGCAGGTTTCCATTGAAAATAGGTTAAAACGACAGACAGTGCCCATAGTGCCCGCGACTTAAATCGAAAAAATCATTGCATTATAAAAGGGGGAAAGTTAACTGACTGATTTTGCTCACTACTCGTATCCCCCAGACAACGGCTTTTACGTGTAACTTTACGGGTGAAAGTAGAAGAGTAGAGAAAGTAGTTACACGCAGTCTTACAATTTATGCGGCGCAATATATCTGCGAAAGAAGATCGACGACATCTGAATTTGCTTAAGTTGATAACGGGAAACTATTTGATAACTCTTTACTTATTGTTGGCAATGGCATTTCTCGCTCTCTAGCGCTAATATCATGTATATAATATGCAAATGGATGCAATCGTTTCGAATATTTGCGAATAGTAATCGGATCGCTCAATTGTTTTCATACATTTTCAAATTAGACAAAACTGAAGGGATTATAATTCATAAAAATGATTTGATTATAAATGATGACTTGTTTTCTAACAATTAGTTCTTTCATTAAGCTCGACTATGTTTAAGATACTATTACTGCGGCTTCTTTCTTTGTTTAGAAGAAGACTTGCGTTTTGAAAAGCACATTTTATTATTTGTTTTCAGACGATCGTAGCATATAGAATCTAAGAGAAGAAATTCCTCTTCACAAGTTTAGCAAAAGGATAATAGAGAAGAGAAAAATTGAAATATGTATGTATATGGGAACATATCCTTTATGCTGTAGAAATGCTTAAGACCATGTTCTTTTTTTATTTATTTATTTATTTTTTTTTTTTTTACATTTGTTCTCATTTATAGAGATAGAAAAAATATCTCTTTTTGTGTTACTTATTTATTGTTGCTACTTTGTACTTTATGTTTCGAAAATTGGAAAAGCCGGTGAACGTTATTATGTTGTAATCCCTCACTTTGCCTCTCCACAATCTCTTCTCTGGTATACTATGATAATAAATGCTTGAAAAACATATATATCTATATATATATATATATATATATATCTATGCTACCCAAAAACAAGGACGTATATATATATATATATATGTTACGAAAGATATTTAACCCACAATGCATCAATCAGTTTTAAATAAATGTTAACCTCACCCCGAAATTATATACAGGTATCGTAAGAAGCTGAAAAACAACTTTTAAATAAGTTTTGATAACAAAACTTTTCTCTATTCAACTAAACTTATATTATTGCCGAAAATGAAGTGCTAACAAAAACGTAGTTGCTTGCGTGTGTACCTTTGCATGAGTGCTATGCACACGTATATGGTTTAGCGCCTACAGCTATGCTATTATATATTGACATTACAAGGACTTTTCAAAAAATGCAGTGAAATAAAATTTATTTAAGTGGCGTATGTGAACTACGGCACGTATTATGTTCCAACGAGTAAATTATGTTATTTTATGGCGGGTGGGGAGGGATGACAGAAGTGTGTAAATGTTTAAAACAGATATGCACGTAAGTACTTCTGTTCAAAATGCATGATAAATACATGCATTGCTTAATATGCGTCATATACTTCTGAATCTTTCGAATCCAGTAGCGATCCGTGACGTGTCTTATCTATCTCGAATAGACGAATTAAACTCTTCCTAGAGTTGGTTTCTTGGTTCCGTGGTTCCGTGGTTCCGTGGTTTTAAACTGTGAAATGAATGATATCATCGATTGCTTCACTAATGTAATTATCTTAAATAAAAAAAAAAAAATTTTTTTTATTCAGGAAGTAAAACAAGAGATGGAGAGAGGGAAGGAGATAAAGAAAGAAAACGAAAATTTACACTCTTGCGTTAAAATAATATTTGCAAATTGGATTAAGGTGTTCTTGGTTGTTGTAAAATAAAATTGTTTTTCGGGCTTAACGAGGCATTTAACCATTATTCACCAAAATTCAATTGCAATCATAATAAGAAGGCTTCAGCTACATTATAATGCAGAGAGGAGCTATTGACTTGAGATTCCGCCCATATCATATCGTATTATACATAACGAATATCGTGATCGTGCTATCAATCGATATATATTTTTATGGGTTATGAACTTTTGGCAAATCTTCACTCTGGTGCATGCAATTGCAATAAGCAAAATAAACGCAACATTGAAAGCAAAGCAGAGGAGATTATATTCCAATCGCACTCAAGTCGTAAGAGACAACCGTCTTATGTGCTGTGGCAACAACAGGGTAAAATTTCTTCCATATTTTGTTAGCCGATTTGATTCCGTCTGCTGACAGATGGAAAAAGTCCAAATAATAGGAACCTTTCAAGTGCTGCACTGAAAATAGTTCGAATTTCTTTTATATTTGATGGGCGTTCTACAGAGAAGTAAAGAAAGCCCTAAAACGATATTGTTGAAATTGTTAGAAAATCTTAAACGATTTCTATGCACTTTTCCAACAAATACAATATGAATATAATAGCATGCAGCTAAGTCGTTTGCGAGTAATATAATAAGAGCATGGACAAGTCTTTCGACTGCTTAAAACTCGATTTAACCCTTCTTGTGCCTGCTTTCCTCCTTTTTCGAGAAAAGAACAAACAAAAACATTATAGTGTCCACGCCACTTTGCTTAATATAGCTGCGCATATAACAACTTTTTACAATAAGGTGTTAGAGGGGAAAAACGAATAAGATATTAGATGGAAATTAAAATAAGGCGTTACTTGGAAAGCGGTCGAAGGAGCGGAAAGTTTCAAACTGTTGTCAGTGGCGTTCGACGTTGGAACAAACCAGGTCGGTGAGCCAAATTTCGAATCAAAATATCTCAAAAATTGCGACCTGTAGATTGAACACCAACAAGGAAACAAGATCGACAGACGGACCGAAAAACTTAGATAACTTCCGAAGGTGATTCTGAAACGATCGGTATAATAAGCAGTGGGTCTATCTCAAGTTATTCTGGCCATTGCGTACATATGAACAAACCTAGTCTACCATTGTACCGCAACTGGTGGACGGTATAATGAGTTGTAAATTCTGCAATGAGGTGAGCTTGTTGCTCCACTTTCGTTTCGAACTTAACAAATCGATTTATTTTCCTACTTTACATTGTGTGAAGGCGATTTTACTAATTTTAGCAAACGACTTGGCTTGAAGCTGCTCACATTTACATTGCACTTCAAGTCATTAAGCGATTAATTTGAGAAAGATTCTGCCACCGAATTATTGATTACTTAAGAACCAAGCGCATTATGTTGTTGACTGTCTTAATAATTTCCAGTTCCAGGGAATGCACGCTTCATCTATAGCATCAAAGTACTTATATAGCTTTTTTACTTTCTTTCTTGAAGATTTCGTGATGTACACTAGTAAAAATACGTGGCATAAAAACGGCGAGATATTGAAGTGCTCTTTTATCAGCTTCAATGTAATTATTATATTAATTAATTAATTAATTAATTGCAAATAATTTAAAGTTTATTTTTGGTTTTTCCGGTGATCTTGGATGAAATGGTAGAAATTCCCCGAAATGACCTTTTAATCAAGTGAATAGCACTTCGAAGAGTGAGTGGACAACAAACAGGCGAATTCAACCAAAATTTTAGTGAAATGTGTCTATCATAAATGAAACGCCTTAATCTTCATTATTTGGTGGTGGATATAAAAATTAATAGGCGCTTATGAAAACGTAGTGAAAAAAACGTTTTTAGTTTTCTTTTCGTATAAAAAGTCATAAAAGGTGCGCTTATGCTTCATAAATTTTATGATAAATACTGTTCTTTATTTTTTATGACTTGTAATAGATTACATTTTAAGAAAGAAACTGTAGAAGAAAAGATTGCATGGAAAGGCTATCTAAGCGCAACTGTGCCGTTGTTTGTTCAGTTTTGGTGGACACGAATTTTCTCAACATGTTTTGTTATAAGATTTCTTTCGCCGTTTATTTTCAAATACATTTCCGACAATTTATAACAAGTAAGAATATTATATTCGGACGCAGCCGAATCTTTTACACCCATCATCTTTATCCTAAAAACGAGGAAAACAAGTGCATTTTCGCACCCTATAATAATGAGTGGGTGCGGCTGATTTTCTCTATTTTCAGAATAAAATTTTTAATTTATATGGTATATGGGTTGCGCTTTATGAGTAATATGTAGGAAAAAAGCGGACAGCAAAGGTATTCACAGTTTTTTTGATAAGTTTGGAATGATTTTCATATTTTCTTGGAAGTTTTGCGAACAGTGTTACAGTGTTACATGGTTGCGCCCATACGGACAGACGGACATATTTAGGGGATTTCCGATTGGCCAACATTTTATACATGCTTTATAGTGACTTTATAGGGGACAGGTTTGAAAAAAAAAAAAATGAAATTTTGACACATTATAATATTAAGTAACGGTGGCCGATTTTTTTCTTTTTTGTTGCGGCAGTACAGCATCGCCCATCGAATACATGTTCAAAGTTTTGTACATTCATCTGCGACAGTTTATTTGGTATTACTTCTAAAAAACATAGGTGCCCTCACTTTGCATCGCACTTTAGACTTGTCCTTCAACCGATTTGGCCCACTTTCAATCCACCAACCACCAAGCTACGTGCAAGCGCTTTTAATGTTTGCATGAAATTTAATAGTGAATAGCTGCATCGTTTTGGGCAGGAGAATTCTTCCAAAAGACCTTCGGCAAAGGGACAGACGGAATATGAGAAAAATACTTTTGCTGTTACTCGCCCGAATACACTGTATAAACTAATGTGCATAATATCCATTGGAATGGGTATCGTCGAGCCAATTTTTACTAGTTTTCTGTTGCGACAATGTAATGTAACTTAAAGATACGCCGGCTCGGATATGTTCTATTAGTCACAATATTTCTTACATAATTTTTATAAATTGTAAGTAAGCCGTTGGCTATTGTTGTGTTTGCTCTTAAGTTAGCGAATGTAATAACAAAGAAAGGCATCGGAAGTTCAAAAATTTTAAAAATGATATGCTTTCACTTTCTTAACTTAAGAGAAGAATGCTGAGTTTCTATTTTTGAAGTGTTGAAAGCATTTATTCGTATTGCGAACCACCAGTCCCCAAGCTTGATACTGATATTGATACTGAGATTGGTGGTGACGTCCATTAGTAAAATGAAAAGCATCGATCAACGCGTTCGTACAAATAAAAAATTTTTTCCGTTCGTATGCTTTTACTTCAATTATTAGGTTGTGGTTAAAAGCAAGCAACAAACAACAAAGTTTACTTTCAATAAATCAGTTCTCATGCATGCTACGCAGCGAATATCGTGTTGAAGAGAGAATAAACGCTTGATATAATAAATTAATTAGTTTTGAAAATAGCCCGATAGCATGCCAAATGGCCCGTAGGCATTCTGAAAAGTCTTTAAACAATTAAAACGGGTCATGACTAGTCTCAATGCACTCTTCTGAATTTCATTGCGAAGGATGAATATGCGTTCGTAATAATCACCATCCACTACACTGCAGCCAGTCTTTCTCTTTTCTCGCTACTTTCTGCCTGTCAGCGTGTTAAACGGATAGGTGCGATATCTTCTGAGCGATTGGTCATGCTGTCTATATATAAATCCGACAAGACAAGCAAGAAATAAAAGAAGATGATGAAGAAACGCTTCGATTAAAGGACTGTATGTGCCTATGTAAATGTCATGGGATGAATCATAATCGAGCTAATGTAAGTGCATCTCGACAGTTTCTTGCGCTGAAGTAACAAATATTTTAATTTTATATGCCGCCTTCATTTGGGCTGCAGTGGGGGCGTTTGTAAATATCTTTTATAGAAAATTGTCGTCGCTCTCAATCTAATGCTGAAGGTTGTGGCGGCATTAAAAAATTAATGTAAAAAAAAAAAAAAAAAAATTTCTCATTAGATTCCGATTTCTAACAACAATAGTTAATTTTCTGCTGTTGCACACACCGTTTCTCCCTTATGCCTAAGCAACTATATTGTTTCACTTTTTTTTTTTCAAAATGTCATTGTAATGTTAAATAAAGAAATTCTTTTACTTTATGTTCTCTGTGCAGTTGTTATTGTTGTTGTAAAAAAAAAAAAAAAAATGATGAAAAATATGCGCTTAAGAACTCTTTCACTATGTACTTTCACTTTGGCACAGTATATGCGTTTTTAAGCTGTGCAGAGAGTAGAGTTACAGTTATGCTACATGCGATGGTGGGTAATATTGTCTGGGTCAAGGTTGTGCTGTACAGTGTACGGTGTGCGATGTTGTTGCGCTGCATAGTGCTGTGCGCTTTTCTGACGCAGTTCTTTCTATATTCTACCGTAATAACGAGAATGATGATGTTCATGGTAACACTGACGTAGTTAGTCTTTAATGAAAGTCTTTTGCTTTTTTTTGCACATTTTTTTTTTTCTTTTTTTTGCTCCTCTTTGTCACTTAGTTGATGTTGATTTCAAATGATGGTTTGCGCGTTTGTTTGCTTGTTTGCCTCCTTATACATGATTCTTATTATGCTTATTTTTTATATTTGCCTTTGCATTGTGACGGTATTTTTCAATTTAATTTAATTTGAACATTTTATTACAATACGTTTTAAACAAGTCTTTCGAGTTCAACTTATAACAAATAAATAAGATTATTCGAATCGAAAATAAATGAAATAATAAAGCAAAAAAAAAAATAAATAAATAAATAAATAAACAAATAAATAAATAAAAGATACATCTTTAAACACTGCATTATTTTTGTAAAATTTTCATTCTGCTTTTTATAATCAACGTTAATTAATATTTGCATAATTTTTCAATGCGTGTTTTGTTTTTGTGGTCTACAATTAGTGTCGTATTCCTCTTTTGGAGAATATTTCATTTCTGTTTTGCTTTGTTTTTTGGTGTTTTCCTTTCATTTTCATTTTCATTTTCATTTTCAATTTCGTTCTGTTCTGCTTTCTGGATATGTATTTACTAACTTACCAAGCGAGAGTTTTTCACCAGAATCTGGTGGCAGTGTAAAACCTAGCAGTGCCATTGAGGCTATCAGTACACAGGGCACAATTAAATTGAAAAAATAATACAAAGTTTTGCGTCGTATCAAAATGGCGAATGTAATGTCAATATAAGGTTCTGGGCAGCAATTATAGTAGATTTCATTTCGTTTTCCCGGTACGCCTGGTGCAAGCAAAGTTTTTTGTTTTTTTTATCATGTTTTTGTTTTCATTCATTAAATAAGAAAGAAGGACAAGCATGTAAAATAAATTAATTGTTGCTTTAATTATTGTTACTGCACAAACATTTATTTTTTGAATGCTTATTTACCTAAAAGATCCCATTCTCCATTTGTTATAAAGCTGGATATATCACCCCCGGCTTCGTCCTGTAGTTGCAAATCCAACTGTAACGAAATAAAAGAATAAGGAAATGTACACATACAATTAGACGAATACAAGAGACGATAAGAAATAATGTCAGCTTCCAATGAAGGGAACTAATTTTCAGTTTGAATTGATTTCAATCAATATACACACACACACTATTACTTTGGTATAAGCTTAGAGTTCGTGAAAATCGTATGGGTTCACAAAGTGCATCACCCTCTTAGGTTCGGGTTATTGAAGGAAATTTCGATAAAACGAGCATGGTCGTAATAACCGAGCATTTAAATTACATTCGAGTTATTATTATTATTATTATTATTATTATTATTAATTGCGCCAGAGAAATAAATTCTAAGACTATACTCTTAAAAGCACTAGCGTCTAAGGCTAACGGCTTTTACTAAAAACTCTACCGCACTTGAGATTCGAATCCACGACCATTGACTTGCTGGTTGAGATTTCTCGCCTTCCGCTACTCAGGCTGATTACATTCGAGTTGATTAACATCTAACTACTTTCACTGAGAAATTTTTTCACAATTTACTCTTTTACTGTTCGGACAAAAATTGCGCTACAAATAGATTACCCAAGCATTTTTAACAAGCCACTGAGTAACGTTCCACGTCAAATCCTCACAATACGAATCTTATTCTCTCTGCTAATGTACATAAGGTACCAAAATTTCTTCTCTTCGAGATTACAATGAGGCTAACTACGATAACTTAATTCTATTATAGATACGAAGGAGCCGTTTACCCTTTCAAGAGCCACGTGGTATTTAGTCTGACGTGATTCTTTAGCTCCTGTATATACTTAAAGAGTCAATCTTTATCTTTGGCACGTATTAAAGGTACAGGACGATAGAATTCATTGTCTTAGCGCTTTACAATCTGCACAGATGTATTTGCCAAAATGGCCAATTGGAACCCTGCAAATCTTATTGCAGGCAATATCAGTCCGAATTGCACAGTCAAGGCTTCCGGGAAGATTTTTTCATGCTCGAATTTAATTCCTTAATTCCTTCGGTAATTAATTCCTTCCTTGTTAACCTGTAGCCCTATAACATCTTTAGTTTAAACGACTGACAGCTGATATCAAATGTGACGTTGAAAAAATTTGTTATTTGTACATTTTCTGAACGTTTCAAATTGGCAAAAGTTATTCTATTGATTTTATGGTTACCGAGGTACCTGTAGATTGAATTTGTTCGTATTAAACTTATGTTTTTCGCTGATAATATTTTCCTTTTTTTTTAAATTTTTTTCATCTAACTATTAATTAGCGAAAGCGCGTATAATTCTAATTAAAATACGGTCTGCACATATATACACATTTATCAATATATGGTTATGTTCACCTGCATTTAATAATGTCATGTTAAAATTTATTATTGATTTCGTCATGTTTAAAGACCTATAACGCCATCCTGCTAACTTGTATTATTAAACGTTAAAACCATATGAAAACGACTGCATCTTGCACAAGTACATATATATGTGTATAAGTTCATGGGTGTGTAAACATTACTAAATGTCAATATTTCAAATAAATTTTAATATATATATATATATATATATATATATATATATCATGCAAACGATGAAATTTTTTTGAAATTATTATAAAATACTTAACAAATTTTAGCAAGCAAATTATGTGTGTTTTGGCCAAAAAAAAAAAAAGAAGAAGAAAATAAACAAATATCCATTGAATTGTCTTCCAAGGTAAAGTGCAAAACTAGGGCATAAGCCTTTTAAACTTATTAAAAGTGAATACTATTATATAAACCAGCTAATAACTAAGCTTCCGAGTGTGTAAAACAATTTTCCGAATTAGCATAAATTAAGTGAATATTCATTAGCTTTCATACGACTTTGCACCGCTTAAGGCACATAGAGACATATGCACCATACGCTACTTTATATATATATATATATATGTATATACATATATTATAGATAAGTAGATTTTCAATCTAAGATTTGTGATATGGCTATGTGTTGGAAATTTAATGTTTTTTTCTGTTTTTTTTTTTAATTTTTTCATTACAATACAACATGATTTTAGGTTAGGCAATTATTACGATTTTATATTAAGGCCTTAATATATGTTATGTTAAGGTATTTATTTTTATTTGCTGGTTAAAAATAAAATTTGCGAAATTTGAGGGTCACTGCAGACCACTTCTCTTTGCTGAGGGTAAATAAAGAAGAAAAAGAAGGAGAAAAAAAAAAAAAAAAACAATAAAGAAAAAACAAGAAGCAAAATAGATAAAAAAAAGAGTTCCAGGGCTCGTGGCCTTGTACGTGTTCGTGTGCGTATGCACACATATTAAAATTCAAATTAAACTTTACAGGTAAATGCGCCTTTTCATTTCTAGTGCATAAAACGTATTATTAAATATTATACCGTTAACTAGAATTACGCATCCATAAAAAAGCAACCAAGGTGAAGCAAGAAAGCGCATATAAAACAGCTAATTAATAATTAACCCTTTTTTTTCGTTCTGTTTGTTCTACCGTACGAAGCATAATTAAATATAACTCTTACAGCGGAAATATAAGTAAAAACCTTGTTAAATAGAAGTAATATTTGCTGAGGTCTTGTTTTTCGAATACATTTTTTAAAGTAATGTGCAGATGTTTCACCAGTCAAATGAAAACTTTGAAATTTATGCGATTTTTGTACATATATTCCTTTTTTTATAGCGATTTATGGATGCCATTAAAATTTCAATGGTCGCTTAACCGTTGGCAACAAATACGGGTTACTTGTTTACTTAAGTGGAACGAGTACGGACACTATATTCGCCTTGAAAAAATTTTTTTTCTACGCAAACCGCCCAATTTTATAACAATTATTTTTAAATTTTTCTACGTTTCGTAACTGCGAAGCTATTGGTGTAGGATTGGTGAGCTTTTTTTAAATGCCTTTTCAAATATTACCTCTAGACGTTCGGTAAAAAAAAAATGGGAAGCTTAGGCTAACTAAGTATAACTGCATATTTGAAGAGATTTCTGTTATGGGCCACCGAAAACGCGCACACACACACACACACACACCCACACCTCCTTAGCGTAATTGGATTTAATGTAAATCGAATTTACTTTGATCATGAAACGAAAGCAAGAATTTCTCAAATCGTCGTCAAGTGTTCTTTTCTCGTAAGTGGCCATTAACTCACTGTTGTCATTATTAGCTGCAGATGAAGGAATATTCATATTCAAATTGATTGTCCCAAGCAAGTTTGATACTATTTTGGATTAATTCTCTTAATTTACCATTCTTACTTGTCAATTAACTAACTCTTTTGTTCTTATCTGCTTCTCTTTTACTCCCCCTCTCTTTCTCACTTAAATGTTTCTGCTGATTTCAATTACTGCAAATTTTTTTTTTTTTAATTTTCATTCTTGTTTAAACTAATATAAGAATTATTATGGTCTTGGTTAGCTTTGACTGCGTGGAAAAAAAAAAGAATCGGGCTATGTATTCGAGTTATGTGTTTTACTGTTATTCCTATCAACACGAGCTCTGCAAACAATAGAGTTACTTGAGAAAACAGCCATTAAAAGACGACAAAAGCAAATACTGCAATAACATTACGATCGTAGACAAACATAGCCTGTTACATATCAGAGCTTCTCAACTCGTCTTTCATGGGGAACATTATTCGCGTGACCTTTCGGTTATCTAAGCGTTTTTTTCACATTTTGACCGGTGTGATGAGCTAAAAGGAAAGTTTTTTCTCTCTAGACTTTGTGGCCAATGCATATATCAATGCTCTCTTAAACACTTAAAAATAAATTTAAGAACGTGTATTACAAGAAACAAAATGAAAAAACCAACTTGAATATGTATATATATGGTTTGCAAGATATTATTTTTATATATATTGTATTTTTTCATATATGATTGAATTTCAACGGTGGTATAAAACATGATTTGGGAGCTTATGAAATGTATGATTGCTGAGTTCGCTTGGGGGTTGTGACTTCATATTGTATTAGAGTTGATAGCACTCACGATTGCAATAGTTTTTATGAAGCGACATAAAAAAGAAAAAAAAGGATTCGCAAACGATTAATGGTTGTCGTTGGCAGATAGGTTTTGTTACAAAACTTTTTCTAGTGCTATGGATGCTTTAAAACAGCAATTTTACGGCAGTAAAATTGAAGTCAATTTACTGAGTTAATAGTGTGGCAAAGATTTTCCAAACGTTCATGTCTGTTAAGACTTTAAAGGTTTAAATCATTTTTCTTTGCAGCGATAGTGAATTTCTTTTAATATCTGTTAAATTTCGGTCCGAATCGTACTTTGCATACATATTGTAATTACAGCAGTATTGTAGCATATTTTAAGCCGCCTTAATATCTGGGTTAACAGTAAAGACGCATTTCCTGCTAAAAATAATAATAATAATAATAAAAAAAAAAAAGAAAAGCAAAAACTTCTGTAGTAGACAGTATTGTGCAAACATAAAAAGAGGTTTTTCTTTTTTAAATTCACTCATTTAAACAAACAGATATTTTAATATTTGTCATAGTACGAGTACGAGTACGAGTACGCATGCAACTTTTACTTCTTTTGTTCATTAAAAAAAGATGAATATGGTAAAAAAAAAAAAGCCAGCACAACCACACATGTTTATCCGTTTAGCAGCATTCGTATTTAGTTGGTTGTTTCCCAGCATAGCGTTTACGGTTTAGTTGCTCCGTTCGCTTTCCTTGGTTAGAGTTGTTAGATCGTTTATTATCCTTGAATACAGTTCTTCCGGTAACTGCTCTAAAAAGTAAAGGAATTGCTAGACTGGCAGAAGCATTTCTAAGTGGACACATACCAGCTCTGTGCACACAACAAAGCGAGTACATGTTTCATAAAATTGTTGATTATTTTCTATAGAGACTTTTATTATTATTATTATTATTATTATTATTATTTTTGTTACTTATTTTCTTTTTTTCGGTTTTCGTTTTTCGTTCACTATTACATCAACAATAAGAAAAGTTTTGCGACAGTT